TATATATATATATATATATAAATAAAATATGTATACACACACACACATACATATAACATTTATAAATGTGAGAGTGCTCGGTAAAAAATTTGTGATGTATGAATATGTATAAATATATATACACATGTATAATTATGTATAAATATTCATAAACATATACAGTTTTATATGAAATATGTTCATACATCATTATTTACATCTTTATATACATATATGTATATGCAAAACATTTGTATTTTAATTATGAAAATTCTATTATAGATACTGAATAAAAATGAAGGAAATTTTGGAAATTTTATGCGGAATAATTGTTCTCGTTTTTGCCTTTCATTATTATTACAAATTGAAGTTTGATTTCTGGAAAAAACATGGAATACCTGGACCTAAACCCATAATATATTTTGGCACGGCAAAGGACATGATATTACAGAAAAAAGTACCTATAGAATATTATAAGGAGATATATGATGAATATAAACATGCGTCACTAGTAGGATTCTTCATTAAAACAAATCCAATTTTAATGATAAATGATCCCGTTTTGATCAAGGATGTTCTGATCACAGACAGTATGATATTTACAGAACGTGGTATTCCTTACTCCAAAAAGGTATTTAAAGTAAGGTTGTTGGCCCAGTAATCGTCACGTTAACCAAAACGCTGGATTTTGCAAATTTATATTTTTCAGATTGAAAAGTGAGCGACTGTTATTTTAGGTTATTTTAAATCAATTTTTTGTGACGAATAAAAGCGTCACTCTAAAATTCTTATACCTACTGCCGTTGTTGAGAAAATCCTTCGTAAAAATTAGAAGGCGCAAACGAGTTATCGCCATGTCGCCATAACGATTTGCCCAATAATCGTGTTTAATTATCGCATACACGATGGAATGATTCAGACACATAAATTAATATATGTACACACACACACACACACACACACACACACACACACACACACACACACAATATAGAGGAAAGGCTCCTATTATGAGATACCGAGTTCATTTTGGATAAATGCTAGAAGTCTATAGTCAAAATTTAAGAAAATAGTAGGTTATTTTGAAGGGAATTTAATAAGCTTTAAGATAACGTTACATAAAATTTAATTCAAATACTATTTTTTTTGAAAATTAAAGAAATGTAAAAAGTGAGCAAATCGTAAAGTCAAAAAATTGTGCTTCTAATATAAGATACCCCGAGAAATCGATAGTAAAACGAAAAGTATATCAGTATTGCAATTAAAAAACTTTATTTAATATTTCTAAAATACAAACACAGCCAGCGTGCGCGAAAAATGAACATGCGATAGATTATAGAACTCGTTTTCAGGTAGTTGGAATCAAGCATCGCAGATATAGGCACTCGATGTTCATTCCGGTTGTTTTTTTTATTATTATACAATAACATTTATTATAACTTTAGCATGATTTTCACTATAACATAGGAGCATGGATTATTTCATATTAGGAATACTCTGGGTATTTCATATTACGATTTTCACGCTTTATGATTTTATGATTATCAAATCTAACTTCTGCAATTAAACAATTCAACATATCCCGTATTTTTCTATTAGTACGACCTTACTCTATCACTACATGAAAAATTTATTGCCAAATATTTATTTTTTATTAAATAATAAACAAGATTTAAATGCTTATCTCAATAAAACTTAAAGACATCCAAATTCTAAAATCTTGTTTTAAAATGACTACAGGCATGATCTAATAATGAATTTTCTACTAAATAGTTTTCAATCCAAGAGCAATAAATTCATGGTGAAACCAATAGATAGCGTTTATTAGTTTAGCAGAAACGCCACTATTTCATATTAGGCGCCTATCTCATAATAGGGGGCTTTCCTCTATATATTTTTATAATTTCATATATTTTTTTTTTTTCAGAACTATCATTGTTACAAATTTTCAATAAAAATTAGTAGCTGTTTCAACAGAAAAGAATTGTAAAATTAGTTTTTATTCGAGTAGTGCCGATCTCTGTTCTAGATGTACCGACTTATCGACACAGAAATGATCAAGCGATCGACATCCTTTATTTGCTTGCGTATCTCGTATTTATTAACTCGACTATGCCTATGACAATTATTGGTCCGTAGAATATCTAGATAATAACAATTATGGATCTAATTTTATTACGAATCGGATTTTTTTATTTGGATTTTGGAAACATTATTATTCGATTTACAAGAATTTTTTTCGGCCCACCTAGTTCCAGTAATCGACAGATATGGCGATTACTCGAACGACTATGTGCTTCAATAAATCAGTGTTTGTCACGTAAAAAAAAACTATGAAATTTGTATGAAACAATAACAATATTTGTGATAGTGTAGGTAAAACTGCGATCTCGATTTATAACTCAAAACTCAATTTACCTTATGCAAGTTGCCAAAATCACGAGATGCCAAACAATGTCCTTTAACTTCACAATGAAGCATTTGATCGAAATCACGCATAGGCTCGATTGCTGCACATATTCGATTTAATCAATAGTTAATTCATATATTTACGAGTTTCATAATGTAACACAACATTGTAAATATTTCCTTGGAACCAATAAAAATATTAGCAAGCTTCACGATCGACAGAAAGCATTAAAATATGTCTTTAATGCGAGAACTTGGTGATTACCGGTACCCTGACGATTTCTGGGCCAACTATCTTAATTGCTTTATATTTTTTCACCTGAGAACAATTATTTCATATTTCATGTTTTATAGTATATAATTAAAGTATCATGATATTTCATGTTTTATGATATATAAATAAAGTTGAATGTGTGCAATAAAACGTTTAGCAAAAAGTATGTTTTTGTTATATTAAAAGATCTCATGTGTGAGTTACTATTATTTTTAATAAAAGTATATCGATCGTGTTTTATGCATACAAAAATTTCTTTATCTATTATTAATATATATTATTAATATTATTAATATATATTATTAATATTATATATTATTAAGATATCTTAATATGAAAATTGTCATTAGTTTAAATCGATGGGAAGACACTAAATAAAATTTTCTACGTACATTAGAATAATTAAATTACATATAGATAAGAAAAAGAAGAACATATTGAAAGAATTTCGAGCAAAATGGACCACAAGTGAGCAGTATTATTAGATCATGTTGTTTTGTATTGTTGTTAGGTATTGTTTATGTACAGTCGTAGACAGAACGGTTGCAACACTTTTTTTCAATGAATTTCGAAATGCAGCTTGCTCACCGAGCGCTTGATTCATACTTATGGATATATAAGTAAGAACGAATCGCTTGTTGAACAGGCAGTATTCCGAAATCCATTGAAAAAAAGATGTTGCAACCATTCTGTCCACAACAGTACATTAGGCATCATTAGGTGCATCCAGAAGCACGACCGCTCACTGAGCTCTTTTACCTATTTGATCTTTACATTTTTAGATCTAATGGAATATGCCAATTAAATGCAAGAATTCACTGAATGCTCAGTGAGCAATCGTGCTTCTGAATGCACTTATTGATGCCTTCCCACTTAAAATTAGTTTCCGCTGATTATACATATCGCCTAATACCTAAATATTTATTTATCATGATTGTCAGATTCGCGTTACTTCGTAAACTACATGTAATTATGGGCGCTGACAGAATTACATGCAGAGGGGTGCACTCAAAAGAATTCAAATTCGAGCGCCAATTGACAAGTAAATGAATTTATTGATTCTAGATCTGTTCTTTTTCGAAAAAAAAAAAAAGAGAGAGAGTGTACTTCCGAAAAGGTGAACCCCCCGATTTTCTTGTCGATTGATATACTACTGTATTTTTATGTCCTAATTACATGAAAATTGCCGACAAGATCATTTTTACAGTTAAATATAAACTTTTACATTTTATGTGATCACAAGTAGAGCTGCTTAGATTTTGGTTCGTGTTCCCCTTCCCTCTGCAAGGAGGTGCACGATTTTTTACGCAAAAAAACGTGAAAAAATGTGAAAAAAATCAGTTTTTAAATACTTGATCTTGTCGGTAATTTTCACGATTATATTCATAATTGGGACATTAAAATATAGTAGTGTGTGTGTGTGTACCAATCAAGAAGAAAATCAGAGTTCACCTTTTCGGAAGTATATCCGCTAAAATTACTAAAATTCCGGAAGTAGAATTTTTAAATGCGATGAAATTGATCCTGGACTCGACCTTCTTCACTTTTGACAATAATATATACCAGCAGAAATTTGGCATTCCCATGAGCTATCCGCTCTCTGCCATCGTGGCCGATCTGGTGCTAGAATTTCTTGAGAACAAAACGTTGGGGAGTTTGAGATATGAGTTATTTTTCTACGTTATAGAGAGAGATATGTTGATGATATCGCAATGGCAATTCCATACGAGTCGATTAATGAAATTCTTGACACTTTTAACTCAATGCATTCAAGAATTCAATTTAAGTTGAAAGTGGGTGGGGATGAATTGAATTTTTTTTATGTAATTTTAATTAAGAATCAAAGCACAGTAGAATTTGACTGATTTCACAAACCAACGTGCTCCGGCAGGTTTCTCAATTTTCATTCTCTTCATCCTTTAACACAAAAGGCGTAATCTTCATGACATGGTAAATAGATAATGTTATCGCATCCGAAATATCATTTAAAAAATATTGAATTAACAGTCAAATTTTTTTGAGAACGATTATTCTCTTGAATCCATTTTCAACTTAAGATTAAAATCATTTATATATAATGTGATAAAGAACCAAGAAAAAAATGAAATTAATAGAAAAATTTCTTGCCAATCTGTCATTCAGTATAAGTTGGATCACAGTCATGAATTTGAGATAATGTCGAGATCATAGACATATTGTACAAAGACAATTAAACAAAAGGCTCATTTCTGAAATGTTGAATATTAAATTGCAATAATTTAAATCTCCAATCAGATACGGAGTTTTTGCACCACTCGTATGTGAGCATTCTAGAGAAATTTAAATAGTGACTTTGTGTATCTGACTTTATTCTGTCAATTATTTTTAAGTTTGACATTATAACAGTCATGTATTGATGTGTGCGGGTGTGGTTCTCAGAATACGAATTTTGACGGTTTAAATGTCTGACTTCCATCTGAATATCACATTTAACAATATTAAAATCTTTTATTTATTCTTTTTGTAACATTAACTTAAAAATTTTTTTTATTCTTTTATTAAATTGACGTGTTACGCTTAGAATAAATGATTGTGATCTATGGAGACGGAGGGTGAGTTGAAAGTACACATATATTTTAATAATTATGCAACTAATTGTTTTGCACATTGTTCTCCTCAGCTAGTCATTTGGCTTAAAAAAGCGAAGAGACAATTTTTGGCAATTCTTAACCTGACAGTAAGGATATGCTCATCCTCTGGTCTCATATAGAATATCTTTCCAATACTGCGGACTATTTGTCAAGATATTGACGAGAATTACCTATCGAACATTGCAAACTATTGTATATTTATTATAAAACATCAACAAAATTGTTCACAACTTGCTGAAGATCGTTTTGAAGCAAACCGCAAAGTACAAGGAAATTTTTGTATTAATATGGTAGTACAATATACTCGTATTATGTGAATTAGTTGAAATTCTTGTCATAATGGCGCATCAATTTTTGCGCTATATTGATGCTTTCATTGCCTATATATTCTTTCATTATTATATTTTTATTTCAAAAGCCCTATATATGTACAAGCCCTATATATTTTTTTTTATTTTAAACAGGTTTAATCCCTACATAAGATTAGTATTAAAATTTCATACAAATTATGCATTCATTAGTTTTCTTTTAGTCATGTATCAATTAACTTTTGATTCCATCATGACGATGTATCTGATTACATTTCTTCAATTGCAATCGCAAAATTGTATGATTTGTGCTTTCAATTGATTTTCGTACGCAATATATTTATTAGATTTAGCGTTCAGTGACGTTTTCCTTTCTCCAAATGTAAAGAAATGTCTTCCAAAAAAAAGATTTGGCTCAAATACTGAAATAATCGATGAAACTAACGCTTACTTTGAAGACTTAGAGAAAGTTATATTATACGGACGATATGAAAAAGTTGAAATATCATTGGAATAATGTATTGATCTGAAAAGTAATTATTTAAAAAATAAAAGAAATTGTCAAATATCATGTGTTTTCGTTTTCAAGTTGAGAACTTTTTGAACTATCCTCGTATATATAGCCAGTGTGTGCAACATCAATAAAGATATCCATTAAAATTGGACACGAATTTTATATTTATTTAATATATGATTTTTATTTGTAATTACCATTTTTTTTTAATATTTATGTACAGGGTGAACCGATAATGGACACGCTTTTTTGGACAAAAGGAGAAGAATCATTACATTTAAAAGCAAAACTGTCGCCACTTTTCACACCTAGTAAACTTAAAAATATGCTATCTTTATTAATACAACGCTCGGAGGCTTTCAAAAATTGGTTGGACAATTCGCTGTTATTGAAGAATAAATGTATAAATTGTAGCGAATTGGCGGATAAACTTACTGCTGACTATTCTAGTGTCTGTTTACTGAATTATGATATCAAGTCTTTCCAAGATGAAGAGAATGAAATTTGTAAATATGTGAAAAGGTTCAATAAAGGAGATTCATGGAAATATATACTCAAACAGTTGCTACCAGATAAAGTAATATACAATAAATTATATGATTTAATCAGCTATTATTTGTTTGATGCCGAAGTAATGCAATTTTGTATCCGTTTCGCTATGGATATTGTAAATTACAGAGGAAAACATAATATTGTCAAATATGATGTTATTAATGTACTTAAGGAGTTCAAGAAAAACAAAAAATCGACTGAAAAAGTAGGTACGTAAAAGTTTTTTACATTTATTAAACATTTAAAACCTGTTTTATAGTAATCACGAGATGTAATAGTGCCTTACAAGGAGATGGTAAGAATTGTAAAATGCCAAATCCCTGCTTTAAAAGACCGATAGAAAACTATAAAAAAGAATTCTATCAAAACTAATTGTATTTTTGGTTCGCGATTTTCATAAGTGATTTAATATAAGGCAAGTTATTCATCCTTTTGCTCCGTTTCATAAACGCAATGTAAGCACGCACTATATGCCTTTTCTGAGGCATCTCTAAATCCAAATAGGATAAATATTTGACTGCTGTTAGATGGATTAAAGCTTCTTGGTATCTTGATCTGTCTGAGCTCTAATAATGAGTAACAGTAATTAGACCATATCTCAGAAAATGCTTGCGGGACCGGATCATCCCATTCTATTTGTAACTTCCATAAGTTGTGCATTGTAATCTTGGCGTTAATAAGAACTGATTAATCCTAGCGGGTCATATATTCTCGCTATCTGGGATAAAATGCTACGCTTGATTGCTTTGCCACCTTCACTCAGATTTATTGAATATTGTAGTGTATCATGAGATGAATCCCATAACAAACTTAATATCTTCAATGGTTGTTCAGTATCCAGAACCAATA